CATGTCTGTTCTCTTGTCTCATTCATTCACCCTTGCCTCTTCTGTGCAAGCAGGGCACTTCTCTGTCCCATTCTTTTTGGCAATTAATCACCCTTCCCATGGCTAGCTCCATTCCTAGGGCCAATAATAACAATCTATTTTTTCTCCTAGCCACCTTCCTTCTCATCTCCCTCAAGGAACAGATGCCTGAGGTTTCCAGGATGGCAGTTAACCAGATGCCTCTCCAGTCATACCTCCTGTTGGGTGTGAGCCAACCAATTCCCAACTCTCCCCTCTCCCACATTGCCCCATGCCTGCAGGAAGTTGCCAGACTTGAGCCAGCACTATTATATCCCAAGAGTCTTGCGTGTTTGGGTTAAGGCTTCACCCCAGGCTCTAGCATCCATATGTCCAAAGAGTCTGGAATGTTCCGGTGGAAATTCCATCCCAAGCCCCTAATGCGCGAAACAATCCCACACCAGTTTGGATTTAAAGGGGTATTTATTTTAGGGGAAAAACGTACAGAACACTGACAGCCAGGAAAGGAGTCTAGTCGCTGGAGCAAGAGCCGGAAACAAGAGAGGGAGCAGAGGGCGGCTGCTCTTTTTTAAAGAGAAATAGTCCACGCCCAGTGGGCTGGTATTTCAGCAGTTATTGGCTGCAGGAGCGGAAGGTGCTCCACAGCACGCCCCCTCCTCTGGGAGTTGCCTCAGTCTAGACTCCATCCTCAAGAAAGCCCAGCAAATGATGACCCCACCTCAGAGATGCTCAAGACTTCTCCCCAGCAACCCAGAGAACAACCACGTGGTTTTCGGTCTTCCTTCCCTGTCTCTTCACTGGGGAGCTGGAATGCCCCACAGGAAAGCTGATATTCATTAAACCTGGGCTTTTGCTAATTTGGTCTGATTTGGATTATTGCATTTGTGGAGAGGTTTATCGGGGTGCAAAAACTTTTCAATGAGTCCAGGAAAAAAAAAATGACCCAATTAAAAAAAAATGGCCTAGAGTTCTAAACAGAGAGTTCTCAATACAGGAAATAAGAATCACTAAGACATGACCCCCAAATATATCAAGCTTAGCAGTTATAGAGATACAAATGAAAGCAATTTTGAGGTTTCATCTTACTCCGCTCAGTCAGAATGGTTAAGATCAACCAATCAACTGGCAATAGCTTCTGGTGAGTATGAGGAAAAGGGAATCCTCATTCATTCACTGTTGGTGGGAATGCAAATTGGTGCAGGTACTCTGATTATCAGAATGGAGAATCCTTAACAAACAAAACAGAACACTAAAAATAAATTTACCACATGATTCAGTCATATCACTCCTTGTCATATGTCCAAAGGACTTGCTATCCTACTCCATAGATACTTATTCAGTCATGATCACTGACGCCCTATTCAAGAAAGGTAGGAAATGAAAACAATCTCTTTGTCTTTAAATGAATAATGAAAATAAGGGAACACACACACACACACACACACACACACACTATGGAATACTATTCATCTGTAAGGAAAAAAGTGAAGTAATGAAATTTGAAGATAAATGGATAGACCTAGAAAAGATTATATTAATGAAGTAACCCAGACCCAGAAAGAAAGATTGTCACTATTCATCTCTCATTTGACATTTCCAGCTCCAAATCTTCAGAAGTAAGTATGCAACATGGAGTAATTACAGAAACCAGGAAAGCATTATGGCATCACAGAGCAGGAGGGGTTGAGAGAGGAATAACAATAAAATGAAGCTCAAAACAGAAAAAGGGGGAGGGGGCTCCAACTGGGAAGGGGAGGGGAGGTCATTACAAAAGCAAATGAAATGAGAGGTGACAAAAACCACCAAGTTATTTGAAAAGACCTTATTATTTTATAGTTACCTAAAATTATACATAAACACACACATACAGTGGTTCACAATGTCTCCACAAGAACTACAGACTAACAGAACCCTCAGGATTTAGGTAGGTATGAGAAACTTCCATTTGAATGATTGGTTAGGTTAGGCCGAGTGATTCCCAAAACAGTATACAATACTGCTGTTACCACTGTTGCCTTTCAGAAGTGGAAGGTAAGTCCCTATTGTACACTTAGGATGCAGGACTCAGATTAATTTTATTCGAGCTGAATCTGATCTAAAATCCTTGTTGTGCTTTAGTTGCCTTCGTACCAGGAAATACTATGGAAGCTTCCAAGAAAAGTGTTTTAATACAGCTTTTAAAGCCATAGTAAAACTTCCAACTTGGAGACAAAACGGTATAATTTGCTTCCACTTCCAGGTAAGGGTCCATCACTTAGGAAAATAGGGCAGAAACTCAAGCAAGCCCAAAAGCTAGGGGCAGAAACTGAAGCAAAGGCCAGAAATAGCAGTTCTTAGTGCTTTGCTCCTCAGAGCTTGCTGAGCTTGCTGTGTTACAGAACCTAGGAGATGACCAGTCCATGGGTGGCACCACCGCTCTGACTTTAATCGTCAATCAAAATGCTCAATATGCTTTTCCACAGGACAATTAGATGGGCATTTTCTCAGCTGAGGTTCCCTCTTCCTAAAAGACTCAAGCCTGTTAGGGCCCGGATCTACCCTTGTTCGTGGGGTTCATGTTGAGGACAGTTTCTGGTCAGTCAGCTAAAACAGTTTCTTTCTGTGCTCCCTCTGCCCTGCCTGGTGATTAGCTGTAAGGCAATTTTGACTCCATCTTTGGTGTGGTAATTTCCCACCTGCCTCGGCGGAAATCCTTGTGCAGCAGCGAGGTATATAAGGATTTCCCCAAAGTTGAATAAACGGCATTCGGCTGATCTCCTTTTGAATGACCCAGGTCTCTTTGTGTGTTCTTTCAATCTCCAGGCCCTTGCCCGACTCGTGTATGGTACAGTGGTGCGTGAACTGTACCGAGGGGGTAACAGAGAATTGGGTGTTACACAAGCCTATTTCAAGTTTTTCAAGCTTGACACGACCAACCAGCATAGGAGGAAAACTACTACTGGTCTCCCCTTGAGCTGTGACCCGCAAGAGTAGATATCTATAAAGGTGCAACAATGTGAATGTAAATTTCACTAGACAGGAGAGAAATAATGAATGGTACCAGAAATCTAACCAACGTCCCAGATCTGCTGAGGTCCTGAGTCTTAGGAGAGAACCTGCTACTACCATTTTTGATAGATCAACATAACTCCTAACTACATTCAAAGCTTATCCTTCTACGCACAGACGAATATGTGGATCATCCTTCATTAAGAGGCTTCTCTTTACAGAAAATGGAGACCATCACATAAAATCATGATTGGATACAACCCAAAGATCAAGGACAATGGGCAGTCCAGTACCGGAGATACATCTACCTCAAGGGTCCTGCATCTGTGGCTCATAAGACACTGTGAGAGAGTGGCAGAAAGACTGTAAAGTGATGAATACCAGGATGTCTGCTGTGAACCAGTTTCTCGTAGAAACGGCACAAACAATACCCGAACAATAGTAATATCAATAAGCATACTAACTGAGAAAGAGTCCCACCCCTATGCAAAGAACTTCAGGCAATTAATGAATGCTGAGGAGTGGGAGAATTACCCTTTCCCATGAGTAAGTCCCCTTATTGGTTATCCAATACAAAATGGACTGCACTGAAACCATATATAGACAAACAGTAAAAACACACTCAGCAGGTTGTATTTATATAATTGTGTATATATAACAACAATAATAAAAGAGGCTATCGATTTGAGAGTGTGGTTGGGGGCACGTGGGAAAAGTTGGAGAGTGGAGTCTTGGAAGGAGCTGAGGGGAGGAGAGAGAAGGCGGAAAGTGATGTAATTATTTTTTAATTGACGTGTCTTTTTAGACAATTCAGGTACAATCTAGAGGCGAACGTCTGCCTCTAGGAGGTGCTAAACCATTCACTTCTCACAGGCATAGATCTTAGAAACTTACAATGTATTAGACTAGAAGAGGGGATCCTAGAAATAATCAATTCGATTTTAAACTATGATGCCAGCAATGCTTTGCAGATGCAAGCTTTGCAGAATGTGCATGCCACATGAGGTCATGGAGAAGTGCACACCTACCTACTGGCACATCAGCTAAGGGAAGCACAAGTGTGCGTGTGAGTACACCAAAACACACACACACACACACACACACACACACACACACACAAACACACCCACCACCACCACCACCACCACCACCACCACCACCACCAGCAGCAGCAGCAGCAGCAGCCGCAGCAGCTTACAAAATATTTGCAAGGCCAAAGACACTTATCTCCCAAGAAAGAGAGCAATAAAAACAGTTAAGCAATGTGCCTTCTCCTCCAACTTGACCACAGGGAATAGTTACCAAATTCCAAGCTATTTTACCCATGATTCAGCTTCCTGCAGGACCTCATGAATCTTTTTCTTTCTTTGAAGCACAGACTTCACCTTCTTTGGAGATAGCTCCAAATGAATTATAACGTGCATTCCATCTCTCGAATCTGGAGCCCAAGGTTTCGAGGAAACTTGGGAAGTCCATTGCCCCACTAGAGAAGTAGAGACTATTGGCAGAAAAAAGGACGGTACAAAAAGCAGGTTCCCAAACAGCCTGAGCGCGGGAAACAAAAAGGGGAACCCTGGCCGGTGGAGTCCTTTTCCACGTGGTGGGGGAGAAAGAAGAAGTGGTGGTGGTCGTGGGGTAGCGCGCAAGTGGACCCTTGGCTCTTATGGCTTCTATGTCCTAGTGGGATAAGCTCCAAAGGGACCAACACAGTGTTAAGCAAGAGACATCTGGCTACCGACTCAGCCTAGGAGCAAAGCGAAGTAAGCACGGTGTACATGTCAGGGTAGGGGGCTGAGGAAAGGAAAACGCAAGGCAGACGTTTATAGACGCCCAAAGCCCCTATCTTGAGGACTGAAGCAAATCCCGCATTCTAGCTGGGCTTCTCTGCGGAGGTGGGTTTCCTACCAGCACATGTCTACTCTCAGAGACCCCTTACTCACTCCTGTACCCTAATAATACCGTTCGCCCTGCATCCTCCCCCGGTGCCACCGCACCTGGATATGGCAGGAGACCTCCGAGTCGTCCAGCAGTCGAATGGTGCATTTCATCTCTTGGTTGAGTGATTTGATGCTGGAGCTCCGAAAATGAATCATTTTCATAGTCCCTCTGTCTCTTGGCGCACAGTGACAAGAAGCGAACATACACAGCAGCACGCGGGAGCAAGCCGTAGGAGGCGCGGGGCCCGCGCGGCCCTAGTCCACGCGAACATTCACACGGTCTCAATACAGTCCAGGCTCTGGGTGCAGCTCCGCCCAGAGACGGTGGCAGCCCAGGGCGCCTGCAGCCACCAGCTCCAGGAGCGTCGGTCCCTCCCTCTCCTCCTCAGATGATCCAATCCCCGCCTCCTTCCGTAGCTAGCTCAGAGGGCACCTCCCTTGGCTGGAGACTGCGAGCGGTTGGAATCCACAATCTTCCTAGGGATCGAGTGTGGAGAAGGCAGAGGGCAGGGTGGATCTTGACTCCCAGCATCTCTGGAGGGGGCTTTTTGCACCGCTGCTGCTGCTGCTGCGTCAGGCTAGGCCCTGCTGCCTTCCTCTGGCTGGCCACCTCCTCCCTCCTCCCATTGTGGTTTCTATAGATGGTCCCTGGACTTCTGCTTCCCTGGACCTCAACGGTACCCTGCACTGTGAAATCCCAGGTCCCAGCGGGCAGCAAAGAATGGAGAGCAATCCACACACCTCCCTTAAGCGCGCTATTGAGCTGGCAGGAAGTCTCAAACAATGGCAGGAGGCACAGGCAGTGCTCATGCCCAGGGCCATAGTAACTCTCAGATATTCCTGGAGGATTTTTAAGTCACTGGTTCAGTTAATTAGCTGAGATCAATTCCCCTCTTCGTTCCTCAGGAAGAAATTGTTTTTCTTAAGCAGCATGATCTTTGATTACAGTATCCCTTAGACACCAACTAAGAGCCCTATTCTGCCCCGCCCCTCTTAGTGAGGCTCCTCCACCTCCAACTGCATAGGAATCTAGTGACAAAGAAGTTTCCCATCCTATTTTAGTCTCCTCTCTGGGTGCTGGAAACCCTGGAATTCCCTGCTGCACTCCAGGAATTCAGTGCTATCCTAAGGTGCCTTTGCCCCTGTGTGAAATGCTCTAGGTTCAAGGGGTGGCAGAGAGACTGCAGCTGTTTGGGTGGGTGGAGCTTCGAGGTGGAGGGTGGGATGTTAGGAAACTGGGCTTGAATGAGAGCTGCTTTGTTCAGCTCTTTATTTTTCTTTGAGGAAAGATCAGTTGCTAGTGGGAGAACTTGTTGCTAGCTGTCAATTTTTTCACGGTTTTTCACACATGCAGAGTCTCTTCATCGAAAAGGATATCCTGTATACAGGGAAGGAGGCTTAGAAGGGATTGGCTGTGGCTTCAATTGCGTTTGGAGTTCTCCCTCTGTCCACACCCTACTTCCTCTCCTCTTCCAGCAGTAATAGTCCCCCTACAGTCAGGCCTCTGCTTCTCAGTCCTCCAAACTGCAACAGCTATCAATCTAAGCGAGCATAGTGCTCCTTGTCTGAAACCTCAGCACTAGAGATGATGCAGGAGGATGGAGACTTTGAGGTCAGCCTGGATTGCATAATGAGAATGTCTCACATAGAAAAGAAAACAGGAAGAGAGTGTACACTTAATATAACATTACGTCTTAGTCAATGTTCTATTGCTGTGAAGAAACATTATTAGAAAGACAACTCTTATAAATGGAAGCATGTAATTGGGAGCTTGCTTGTACTTTCAGAGGGCTAGTCTGTTATCATCATTGTGGGAACATGGAGGGAGCATTCACATTATGAATGACACTGGAGCAGAATTGAGAGCTTCATCCTGATCCATAAACACAGAATACATTTAATGTAACATTATGTTTTAGTCACATTCTATTTCTGTGAAGAGACACCATGACCAAGGCAGGTCTTAAAAAAGGAAGCATTTAATTAGGGACTTGCCTACAGTTTCAGAGGGTTAGCCCATTATCATCATGGCAGGAGCATGAAAGCATCATTGGCAGCATGCACGACTCTCTCACAGCAACTGAGGGGTATATCCCGATATATAAGTAACAGGAAGAGAGAGAGATGCTGCGTCTGACCTTAAATTTGACATCCCATAGCCCATTCCAAGCTACACATTTCCTTGAACAAGCCCACACCTTCTTATTCTTCTGTTTCTTCTCAAATACTCCACTCCCTGGTGACTGAGCATTCAAATATATGATCCTAGAGAGGCTATTCTTAATCAAACTCACCACACATGATGAGAGCTAAATTATGGTTTTGAGATATTTAGATAATTTTGTGTGGGTTTTCATAGGATAGAAATTGATAGGTCAAAATCGAGGTCATAGGATGATGTGAATTGCAGCTGTCAGTGCAATGAGATAGGAATACAAGACATATTTCTACCTCTAGTCAAGTGAAGATGGTGTTTAATTCATTTTTCTAGTTCTGTGATAAAACACCATGATCTTTTGAGATTCAATGTAATCTCTTTATTGCAAGCCACTGAAAAAATCAAAGAGCAAGTCACATACTACCAACATACAATTACGCAGCATATTCATTACTAATCCAAAGGAAAAGAAAGGGACCATAGTGAGGAAATACTAGATCAAGGGAGAACTGAAGAACAGAAGGGCTAACACCAAATCCTATAGTCCCACCTTTTGTGCAATGGGTTTAAAGGGCTCTGTGGTTCTGGTATTGCTGACTACAACACACTTCTCTGAAATCTCTTGAAGTGGAGCTTGCCAATCTGCACAGCTCTCAGCACTACTGTCTCCCAGGTTTCTACTAGGATGTCTTATTAAGCTCTTCCTTCAGCATCCAACTGCTTTTTCTAGTCCAAAGTTGCAAAGTCTTCCACCTTTTTCAGAAACCAATATGGTCAGGTTCTCCACAGCAATAACCTACTTCTTGGTACCAACTTCTGTCTTAGATACTTTTCAATTGTGGGGTTAAGTCACCAGCAGCTTTGTTATCTCCCTGTCTATTGTGCCTATCCACCATCATAGCCCTTCTTACTCTTCTGGTTTCTGCAGTTATTCCAGGTAGTATACTGGCATATGAAGAAACCACAAATGAGAAAGAACATATTATGTTTGTCTTTCTTGATCTGGGTTACCTTACTCAATATCTTCCTTTCTAATTCCCTCCATTTACCAGCAAATTTCACTTTTTTACAACTGAATATTATCCCAGAATATGTATGAGTATTTCCGCTGTCCATTTATCAGTTGAAGGACATTTAAATTATTTCCATCTCCTAGCAATTATGAATAAAATAGCAACAAACTCTGCTGAGCAAGTATCTGTGGAGTAGAATGTTGAAGTCTTTGGATATATGCAAAGGAGTGGTATAGCTGGGTGATATGGTAGATTAATTTTTAGCTTGCTAAAGGTTCTACACCCTGTTTTCCAAAGTGACTGTACAAGTTTACAATCCCATGAGTAGTGAATGAGACTTACCTTTTTTTTTTAACATCCTGTGATTTTTTTAAAAAAAAATTATAATTTTTATAGGGATAAGCTGAAATCTCAAAGTAGTTTTCATTTTTATTTAACCTAATCTCTAACAATAACAAAATTTAAGATACTTCTCAGCTGCTTTCATTTCTTTTGAGAAATATGTTTGCTTTGAGACCTTTTTGTTTTTGTTCTAATCACATTTTTGAAGACTAATTTATGGGGGTTATTAGCTTGTTTGTTTTAATTCTCTGTTTCTTTAATTACTTATGTGTTGTGTGATATTTTCTTGGTGCTCTGACAAATAAAGCTTGCCTGGAAATCAGAGGGTAGAGTTAGCCACTCGTTAACCAAAGAACTTGGGTAGCGGTGGCTCACAATTTAATCCCAGCACTTGGGAAGTGAAGACTGGAAGTGACAAGGTGGAGTGGAGACAGGATCTCAGCCTCTTGGCCAGAGAATTCAGAGATAAGAGGCCTCTGGAGCCTGCTGCTCTGCTTCTCTGATCTTTCAGCATTTACCCCAATATCTGACTCCTGGGTGTTATTGATAACACTGATAAGGATGATGCTTCAGCTGGTTTCCAAATTTGGGGAACAAATTCACAGAATGCCACTTTGTAGCTATAAGCACATTTTGGAGCTGCACACGAGGGCTCCTTCTAGAGTCACCTCCCCACTGACTAGGTTTTCTAGATTTTCTGTTTGAGCCTCTCAGCAGCAGACTCTGTCAGAGTCTCTCACCACCAGCCAGCTCAGCCAGCTCCCACACATGCTTTTTCCCCACAATCCCCTGTGTACATTTTTCAGACAGTGGGCTCCCTCTCCTGGTGGGTTGTGGGCTTTCCCTGGACCGCCTCCTCAGGATGCTGCCACACAAAGTAGCAACAGGTTTCTATTGTTCTAAGCGGCAGAAGTCAGCCTCTCATTTAACCACCATTGTCAGCCAATTTGGTGAGACATTTGGGAATTCTTTTTTAATTTTATTTAAAAAATAAAAAAATGTCTTTTTTCATTTTACATGTTAATCTTAGTTCCCAATCCCTCCTCTCCTCCCATTCCCTTCAACTTTTTCCACACCCTACCCCCATCCACTCCTCAGAGATGGTAAGACACATTGCTTTGAGGAAGAACCAAAGCCCTCTCTACTATATCTAGGCTGAGCAAGATATACCTTCAAAGATATTGGGTTCCAGAAGGCCAGTACAAGCAGTAGGGACAAATTTTGGCTCTACTGACAGTGGCCTCACAGTCTAAGCCAGTCATACAATTGTCACGCACATTCTGAGGGCCTAGTTTGATCCTATGCTGATTCCTTCCTTGTCTGGCCGGAGTTGGTGGTTCCCATTAGCTCAGGTAAGCTATTTCAGTGGGTATCTCCATCTTGGCAAATACCCAAATGATGCTCAATCATATTACAAGGGTTCAACTGTGTTCATAGCAGATTATTTGTTATGATCATAGCCTGGAAACAACCTAGATGCTCCTCAACCAAAGAGTGGATAAAGAAAATGTGGTACATTTACACAATGGTAAAAGATCAATGACATCTTGAAATTTGCATGTAAATGACTGGAACTAGGAAAAAAAAAAACCATCCTGAGTGAGTTAACCCAGACCCAGAAAGATGAGCATGGTATGGACTCACTCATAAGTGGATACTAGCTGTAAAGCAAAGGATAAAGAGCCTATAGTCCATGATCAGAGAAGCTATATAACATCCCCCTGGGAAGAGGAAATATCCAAGATCTCCTGAGAAAATTGGGAGCATGGGAATCAGAGAAGAAGAGAGGGTGGAAGGGGAGGAGGAGAGGAAAAGGGGCAGAGGGAGGAGAACTTGAGGGAATGGGATAG